GTAATTTAAGAAACGCAACGCTGTGGTTGATTGACTGTGATCTAATAATGGAAAATTCAGCATGCAAATTTCTTCGTTCCTCTCTCATTATGCACCGACTACCTTAAAAGTTAAATCATCCGCTTCATTATTTTCCATAGGACGTTACAAAAGTTACCGCGTTTCTGTTTATTGAAGATTATGAAATTAATTTCTTCAGAATCACAGGAATACTATCTCGTTGGTATGCCATAATCATTGCTACAACGCACTTGAAGTCACGAAAGCGACTTCACTTTCCACAGAATTTATCAATTATTTGCCTCAGGCGAAGTGAATATTACTGAATAATCCCCAAGACCATTCGAGGAGATTATTCAATGATATTCACCTCGTTTGAGGCGAATAATCGTTCAGTACTGTAGAAGGTGATGTCGCTTCCATGTTTTTACTTAAGTATAACTGTTCCAGTGCTTTCGAATTCTGTTGCAAATTCGTTTAGTTCTGGAAGCCATCCTGTTACAATTGTTTTGATTACTCGTATCGGGATACGCAGCCAGTAATTAAATCAGCAAACACTTGATAACTTTTAAAAAGCATTACGCTAAACTCTATGGCATCCTTTGTACTCTTCGAAATTGGATTTCTTCTATCGCGTTTATCACTTCCTCTGTAGCACTGGCGTGAGGTGAAGTTCAGCGCTACTGCTATAATCACATTGCAGGAGGTAATTATAGAGAGATATGACGTAATCCTCGACCAATCAGAGTATGAGCATCTCTATAATCACCGGTACAATTAAACTAAAACATAACTACGGTGCATTTCTTTCAGCTAATTCATAGAACTGAGATTCAAAGCTATCGGAACAATGCTACCCTCATTGGATTGCAACGACTTTGGCAGATTCATCAGCTTCTTTACAACTTGAATAGAGTGCATTTAATTTACAAACAAAATTTTCATCATAAGAATTGAAATTTATTTTCAGGTCGTACAAGATAATCATTGCTTAAAATTCAATCCCATCAGTTCCAATCGTCCAAGAATCAGCACCTTGTCATAGTTCATGATGGTGTTCAGACGATGAGCAATGGTCAGCACTTTGAAGTCTTTAAATTTGTGATGAAAACTTGCTGAACAAGTCAAACAGACCAGCTGCCTCTCACCAACACTGAATCGAAGTTGGACCTTGTCTCCTTCACCTGTTAGTAAATGAAGCTTAAGTCGCGCTCTCTGAAGGTTCAGAGTTCTAATATCGATACCGTCAATCAACACCTGTGACGAACAATTGGAAAGCAAATTATATTGCATTCATATTTAAGCAGTTAAAAATTGTTAATCTATAAAATAAATATCAATTTCAAATAGGGAATATTATGTCTTTGATCAAGATAGGCCGTCTTCCTGGTGCTACCAAAAGATTATTTTCATTGTCGAGTAGCATTCACTGATATTACACCAGAAAATGCAACTCCTTTTTACATACCTCCTAAAAATATTAGAACAAATATTAAAACAAATATTAGAAAAAATAATTAAACAAATATTAGACAGTTTGCGTTACGTCTCCAAGGACCTAAACTTTTCAATTCTCTGTTTATAGAAATCCAAAACTGTTGGAAGTCTTATATTAATTGTGAACATTAATCCTACGTTTAATTTCACAATTTTCTCAAGCTGCTTAAGTATATGAATAAAGGAGGTAAGTTTATGAAGAAACTGTGGTGCTACATCGGTGGGACAATATAACAGGGAAATTTAGTATTATCAAGTAATTTAGTATTTACTAAGTTGATAAGTTAACCTTTAAGCTAACGGTGGCAAATTTAAGTTATGAACTTAAATGATAGTACTAAATTGCCCTGCTTAAGGATATGTTTATTTGAGTGCCTGCTATTGTCGTTGTTGTTTTCTGTGCGTGTGTTTTTTTTCTTTCCTTTTAATCTAAATTATCACGTTATATAACTAATATCTCACTTTTTAAAATATGAGGAGCCTGTCGCTCGCTTAAGACTTTTGGTTTCTTTTCGGTTTTCTTTTTGTGTTTCCTCGCCACATGTTAAATTTTCGGTTATTTCACATTCATGTATATGTAATTGCTGTTGATTATCCTGATGTATTATAATTACAAAATGGCTTAAGAAACAAAATAACAATGGGAACATGCAAGGGTTCCAGGAGAGGTTCGTTGCTTTATTTCAAGAAAGTAATGGTAAACTGACTGAGTCAAAAGTTTACGAAAATTTCAGAGTAAAATAAGAGTACCACTGAACTATAGTCAATGTCAGTTCAAGCATATAAAAGAACAGTAACAAGCAATTACTACCCTCTCTGAAAGTTCGTACTGGCTGAAATCGTTTGCCTATTTGCAACAATTGACAACTAGTGATTCTGATCGCCTTTACTTACTTGTTAGCATCGTCTTCCTTGTTTTTGTTATAAGACTGACCAAGAGTCACTTTCATGGAATGACAGAATTATGGGGCAAACGACTAAAAATGGCGACCATTGAGCTCATTTACAAGAGGTTAAGATTTAATTTCTACACGTCTCAAAATGAGTGTAATGGTTTAAATGTGGCACCGATCAGATTAAAAAGTAACGTGATTTCTGTAGCACCTTTTTGCTCACGTTTATTTCAAAGTTTCTTTTTTATTTTCGTAAAACTGTTAGATTTTTTCATTTTTCGTATTTAACGAGACACAAAATATAACATTACAGGAGAATTATTTTCAACAGGTACTGTTTACATGCTCTTTGAAACCGATCACGCCTGAAATTCACGATTTAATTAATGATGACTTTAAAAGGTGCTAAATATCGTCAGATAAATTAAGAAATACATGTAATTCTAAGAGTGGATTACAGTCCTTAGGTTGAAAGAGGGCTCCTATTTTCTTAACGTGGTTTGAGGTGGTGTTCGTTTTAATGGTATGGCGTGGTGCAAATGCCTTACCTGTGGTCCGAGGACAACACAAATTCAAAGCACAGCGGGTCGTCGAATTTATTTGTAAACTATATTGCTTCCAAGATAGTGAAGAATGGATCAGTCCTGATGCAACAGTCCTGAAAATTTTTTAAATCATGACACACTACGATTTTCATCTTTTTCAAGGATCAGGAGATAGCACATCTGTTTGTCTTCACTCCAAGCAATGGTGCCTATTTTTACTCAGTATGGGGTTTGTTTATTTTCTCGTATCAGTTTTATCAATGCTTTTCACTAAAGAATCCAGAAGACTACGAGAAATATCTCTTCTTCATGACAATTTCATCGTGTTAATCATATTATCTTCCTTGTTGGAATGGCTCGTTATCGCACAGGAAACTTTATCTTCGGGAGCAGTAGAGATTTACTTTACAGCTCATCAAAAGATACGAGTGGGGACCTGCCGTTTAATTATTTTCCTGTATTCTTGTTTGCAAACTAGTTCTACGGTTGCTTTAATCTTCACGATATATGCCAGAAAATTTTTGTTACCCAACATGAATTGCATCAAGCCAAAACCGTTGTGTAGCATTCGTTTGTTCGCCATACAGTTCGTGGCTGGCGTTATAGTTGCCGTGACAACGATTCTAGCTGACATTTCCACTACGAGTGGCTGTTGTTTACATCCTTTTAACGCTGGGGGTTTTGAAAAGACAAAAGACATGATTTACAACTTAAGCAATGTATGTGCGATATGTCTTCTTTTGCTTGTCTCTACAGATAAATGTCTTAAACTGTTTTTGGCTGGACGAAGACTTCGTTTTCCCTTCTGTACAACATCGAACAAATACCGTTTTAGGCTAGTGAGAAAAGAGGAAGTGATATGCTGATTCATCAATACGTGAAACTAAAAATACAAAAATACGAAAATATTCACAGAGGTTTACCGCACTGTTCTGTCACTAAAAGTGATTCCATGTATTAACTTGTCTGAAATCAAAACAATTTTGCCAATGAGTATCAATTGAACAGCCCAATAAGCTTAAGCGACCGAACGAACGATCGACACACCGATCCACCGACCCAACATGATGGCGACTGAAAGACGGAGTGAATGAACAAAACAGCGGATGATCGAATGAACGAATAAACAAGCGAACGAACGAAGGGACGAACGAACGAACGAACGAACGAACGAACGAACGAACGAACGAACGAACGAACGAACGAACGAACGAACGAACGAACGAACGAACGAACGAACGAACGAACGAACGAACGAACGAACGAACGAATGAAGGGACGAACTAACATAAAAAAGAACAAGGACCCGATCTAAGATTTGATAACACTGTTACGAATGACCGGATAATCAGACCTGGAAGTTCTCGCGAAGTGGGACGAAAGAGTGGATAATGTTAAAAACCATATGCAGCGAATGCGAATTAATGCAATGATGTAAACAGTGGCAAATGGTGCAGCGAAGGGTACCAATAGGTTAAAAATGGACAGAAAGAGCAGCAAACATCACACTGTCTCGAATATCATCCTCTCTACGGAAAGAAAGAAAAAATATTAAACATATGCCGCCTCAATCTGACTCCAAGTTTTACAGAAGATCAGATCAGTCAAAAACCTAGTAACTTCCTTTCCAACCTTCATATCTTGCACCCACGAGTGTCCCACGCGCACGTTTGCCTGAAGCCATTCGGATAGATCAATTTCAAAGGAAGAGTGGACAACTCTCCCGAGCAACATGGTCGAAATTGAGGCCCGAGAGGGCATTAGTCTTTCTGCTAAGAAATTTTGGATAATTCTGTGGGCATTTGGTTAAATCTTTGCTATTGGCCTTGTTCCCCTTCGCTGTTGAAGTTAAGATTCTAATTACATTAAAAAATATCTTCATTAAATCCCCGCACCGTATTGTTCTTGTACAGCTGTACCCTTTTAGAACCAAATAAAATTATGCAACCACATCATCATAGAAGATTTAAAGCGAAATACAATTTTTATTTACAATTTTCTCGTGTTTCATCAAAAAAAAGGGAAAAATTTTTGAAACTGCAAAACAAATGTTAATATTCCCAAGAATAATAATAATGATATTCGCTCTGCGTTGAAGCTGTCAAAGTCATTATGCTGCAGATAAAAATAAAGAAGTTAGTCAATCATGAATATTTAATTTATTCCGGGAAGTCGTACAAATGATTATGTTTACCTCTGGCACATTTTTACAAAAGTTTTCGCCTTTGTTGTACGTCTGCGGGGGATTATTCGCATCCAGAATTTCAACCAAGCGATCGAACTTAAGCGAGGGCTAATCTATTTTGATTGACCATCTACGAACATATGCATTCAAGCAGAAGACACATTACAAACACTTTCGAAGGAGACTTTTAATAATGGGAAATAAGCAAGGAACTGCGTCCGTATTTCAAGACGAAGAGGATGAAGAAACGTGGTTTGAATGGATGGAAGCGACGGGTGATCGTAGAAATCAGAAAAGGTTGCCCATTTCCCCATGTTCTGATCTACTGGCGGTTCATGCGGTTCAACCGATGTCTCTTACACCTGGCGTGACCGATACGGCGAGAGAAGCAAAACAAAAATACCGCAGTGAAGCAAAAGCTCTCAGTGGACTCTATTTAGCTAGTGCGAAGAGAGAGAACATTTCGGTCGACCCATCGTTTCGCGGTGATGCGAAGAATAACAACTATTTACCGAAAGTTAGAGAAGGCGAAGAAGACGAATTGGACATGATGACGGTTGGCCAGGTGAGTGTAGTTAAGGAAAGAGAACAGGGATTAGAAGAACCGTCGTCACAGTTCACAAGTCATGCAATAGTTCTTGTTTTGAGTTTGTCATTGCAATCCATTCAATCGTCTGTCGATCCATAACCATATCCTATCCCTTTTGGAGTCTCGTCTCATTTCATCTTTGTTCTATATGACCAAGAAAATGACTGATTCAAGACACGGAGAGGTAACTTAACGGACCAAATATTCTTATTTCACTTTTTCAAACTGAAAACAAAAATCTCTACGAAACAAATTCTGCATAATAAAAAGCCTCTCGATAACAACCTGTCAAGTTGTTCGCTTGTTTACCAAAAAATAAAATCAGTTCAACTGAAATTTATGCAAAAAATCATTCGACAATTACGAGAAATGAAGTGCTTTGCTCGTTCTACGGCACCTAGCTGTTATATTGTTTTAGGTTGTTTTTCAAATGTGATTTTTTTTGGCTTTCTGGCTCTTGACTATGCAGAGCAAGTGGTACACCAAAAAAAAGCGAAAATAAAATATGAATCGGCTTTACTAAACGACTACGTCAATGGATGGCGATGGGTTTTAAAGATAAAGATGTGACTTTTCAAGCTTTTGCTTCAAGACAGACACATCTGCATTAACGATAATTATTTCTTGTTTTAAAGTGCCAGCCAGAAAAGAAGCTAAATAGGAACCGCAAATCGAGATTTTTTTTTTCTTTTCGTTTCACATGCGAGAGTCGCTGTTCGAATGACCGACTGTATAAACCAGTCTTTCAAGATTATTCACAACGAAAGTGCATGATTTTTACAAATAAACTGCAGCATAATAGACTTCTTTGAGAGTCATTTAGGCGTATAGGTCCCTCAACATACAGTTAGAGGTGGGTAGGGGGGGTAAGAGCCGTATATTCTTTCAAATGGTTTATCAACATGAATCAATAAATCAAAACGATGAAAAATTTTTCATAAAATGTGATAATGGGATAAAGTTTTACTTTCTTTCATAAAAGCAGCTTCTCGAAAGCAAGCTTAGCAGACCGTTTTTAATCAATTCTATTGCATACACGAAAAAACAAAACCTTATTGTTTAAATTAAGCCACGTCTACAGCCCTTATATTTGCTTGGCAAATATATTGGGTAGTTTTATTTAGGATAACAATAAGTTTTTAAAAATTATAACTCGCAAATGTGCAGTCCTAAATATCATTTTAAGTGCTATTAAGACATTATTAATGAATCCAACGCGAGACAACTTTTTCCGGAAATAGAAGCAGACAAAGATTAAATTAAGGCTAGCGAATATTCTTTAAAAATAGTATCGCTAAACGATCTTTCTTGGCAAAGTGAAAAATCAAGATTTCGGCGACCTATTTCTTGTACAAATACGAGTAACGTTAGTGCCCTTCTTGAACAAAAATGATTATATCGTGTGTACTGATAATTACTTAGACTTCTCAAGAAACTGGGGACGAATACAGTGACTATGAAATTTTACATTGTTAAATCATTTCTAACAACTGCTTTTATCATTCGTGATGTCAGAGATATCTTTACCTTGTAACTAGGTTGCGCTTGCCTGGGGCGATTTTTCTCATGCAAATAGGGCTTCATGAAACAAAAAAGATGTTGATCATCAAAGAGTTGACAGGAAAAGTGCGCGTGCTGATTTTGGTCAACAGTTAAAATTATTTAGCGCCTTTCAAAGACGCTGAGGTTAATAATTGTTTAGAGATTATTTTGCTAAACCAGCCAGCCCCTATCACAGAGCTTTTCGGAAACACTCGAACGGCTACGGAGTGGGGAAATAGAGCTACATCTTCATATCAACAAGCTATCTCAGGAAAAGGAAAAAAGCCGCACGGAGTAAAATGGTTGCTATTAGTGATTTAAAGTGCTAATTCACCCACGTAAGATCCTTTTTATTTTTCTGGGTAGGTGCTGCCAGATTTCCCAGCCGGGGAAGTGAATGTGTCTCTTTTTTTCGACAAAGCTACCAGCCGTCTAAAGGTAAACATTGTAAAGGCTCGCAACCTCTGCTGCAAGGCCCGAGAGGGGAAGAGACAAGACCGATGTGGCGTAAGTTGTTCAGGTAATATAATAGTTTTTATTCGTTATTCGTTGTTAAGACTAGTCCTTTGATATAACCCAGCACATTTTATTACCCATGTTTTTTTTTCTTTTAAAGGGAAATTTATACACTAAATTTTGGCAAAGTTTGACAACATGGTATTGAATTAAGTTATTTTAAATCACTTATTGAATTCAATCATTTTCAACTTGGGACTAACCATGTCAAAAGGGATCGGCACAGAGATTGATGGTTAGACAGGGTTTGTCGCTTCCAAGGTTTGGTTTGAGTGCCAATCTTTCAACTTCTGAAGTTTCTTTAAATAGGAATTCACCCCTGAGGAACAAATCAAATCCAATTTAGATAAAAAAGGACTCGCACCAAGTGGTCCACCCAGCTAGAGCTTATCCTAGTTCTGACAGCATCACACGACAAGGATCATTACCACTCTCCCCTAGACGAGATACTAAACCATCGCAAGGTCACCCCCCAGCACTTAATAAGCTTCACTGACAATTGCCGGTACCCGTTAAAACTCCTAAGCGAAAAGAGGCATTTATAAAGTAAAGTGTTTTTCCTAAGAACACAATACAATGATTCAGCCAAGTTTTGATCCTTGACCTCTCGAATTTTTAACTTGCAGATTTGTATATAAACGTGCTCCTGTTGGAGGGACAAAAACAATTGGAGTCACATCGAACATCGAAGAAGAAAGGAAGCACTGATGTATTCTTCTACGAAAATTTTGCGTTGGACCTTACTTCTCTTGACGTACGTCAGATAATTTTGCGGTTGACCGCAATGCATTGTTGTAAATATGTAATTAACGCTGATCACGTGATTGGTCACGTGGATACGAACGACAAATCATGGGGTTCTTCTTTCAGCTCTCATTGGGTAGAGGTAGTCACGTCTCCAGGAACGAACGTGAATAGATGGCATACTCTATGGTGTTAAAAAAGAAAAAAAAAAGAAACCAGAGAACACACCTTCTTTGATGGCTCAACATATAATAAGCGAGGAAGTCTTGCGAGTTGCTTTGTATTTTTTGAACCCTTAGGGGATTGGGAAATACGAGCCATGAGCAATATATCCGTTCATTTTATATGTTAAACCATCGAATAAGGTGTATGTTGCTTATTTTGTGCGGTCCGTTGCCCTAATATGGTAAAATTTGCATGATGGTGCAATGAGAAGTAGGCGTACGGCCTTGATGAAACCGTTGTTATAAAGACTACAAAAAAAAAGGATAAAAATAAGAAAGCAAGGATAAAAAAATCAGAATGCGAGGATAAAAATAAGAATGCAAGGATAAAAATAAGAAAGCAAGGATAAAAAAATCAGAATGCGAGGATAAAAATAAGAATGCAAGGATAAAAAATGAAATTAAACACAAATTGTGGCAATCAAAATAGAATTATTAATTTAAAAACTTATTTATTTTGCGTATGTGCAGCATTTTTGATACTTAATGCCAACGATTGTGTCATATTCCTGGTTGGTTCGATGGCGAAAACAGCCATTTTAAAGTGCAATTAACAGGTAATATAAAATTATTACTTTGGGGGGGAGGGGTGCCCGTTACTCCTCCCCCCCCACCCTTTGTACTCTGGTGAGTGCCCTCTGTTGACACAGTGTGACCCACCCATTTGAAAAATTCTGACTACACTCCTGTAACAAAAAAGGAAAAAAGAGGATATTTAAAGTAAGGACCCTCATGAGGATGGCAAAACATACATCGTTTAAGAGGAGGCCTCCATCACTAGAAATGGTTTTCAGGGGATGATCCAATTAATGTCACAGACAAAAAGTAATTCAACCAGAAAGCTATAAAAGTGAAAATATATTAAATATAGAAAAAAAAATCAGTGGAAGACAAGTCAGTTTTAAACATGACACGAGGCATCGGTACTTTTCATTTGTTTGGCAGGAAAGCCTAATCGTTCAAAGCTCTAAATATAAGGTGTGTCTTTTCATTCAGTTCGTAGTTAGGGAAGTCTTGATAACATTACAACCATGTAGATGACTTTAAGACGTCGTAAAAATATCAAATTTATACTGGAGCATCTCCCTTAATCGCATCTTGACCAACAAAAAATCGATTCCAAAGAACACAGAAAACTGTAGAAGGTAGAAATCTTTACAAATCATACATATTTGGTGAACTTTCCAAAAGTGCAAATAGAGTATCAACGCTATGTGTTGATATTCTGTGTCATTCATTATAATTGAATTGAATCAGAAGCACTCTTCGATGACAAACCTGAAGAAAAGCTCACACACTGCACGGAAATTTGAGCAATAGAGGACTATTTGAATGTTTTCATAGCCTCCTCTAAACACACGGGCGCATGGAAGAATTCGAGAAAGCAGTGCATAATTCTTATAAATTCTTCCGAAACGGAAAAAGTCCTCGATTGCTTTTATAAATTTTTTTCAAGAATTAAACGAAACACGTCACAAACCCACCATCATACTCTCGTTTAAAAGAAAACAATCGACCAATGAATGCTTACCATCATGAATATCTAAGAAATGACTTTGGTAACTCAGTGACATGTTGTACGCTTCAACAAACAGAGGGCCAGGGAAATTTATTATTTAACCAGTCCCTGTACTGAATGATACCCACGTAAAAATCTTGTTTAGTTTGGCCCTCTATTACTTCTTTGCTAAATGCAAGGTTATCTTTACCAGTCCTCGAATAATAATTTCAGCTTTTACGTCTGTGCGATTAGGTCTGCTACTCAGCAACAAAGGAGAAATTTAGTACCTGTGCAACTACCGCAAACACATATTAATTCCCGAAGAAAAACAATAAGGGAAATCAATAAAACATATGTCTGCTAAAACTGCTAAAATCAACTTTATGTTTATTTGGGGCAGTTCTGCAATCAGTTTTTATTAAATTTTGAACTCCAGAAATTGCATTTCTAGTGTTTTGATTGGTTCACGTAACTCCGGTTATCTGATATGAAGCTGCTAAAAGGCTCCAAATATCCAAACGTCGGATCAATATCAGTATCTAGGTAACTTCCCACCTACCCCTCCCCTAACTCAACAACAGTCAATTGACAACAAGTTAAGGTTAATTTTGGGTTAGGGGAGGGGTAGGTGGGCAGTTGCCCAGATACTGATATTGATCCCAAACGTCCAGGGTTTAATGAAAATGGATACATTTTTTCCATTTGCACTTGTTGGATACGAGATTGATTATAGCTAATTCGGTTCTACGCGCCTTGTTAGCTATTTATCACCTCATATCCGACGTGCGCTCATGGATTAATAGTTAATTACATCAATTACCACTTTTCAGTTCTTGTTATGAGCAAGAAATACGCATTTTATATAATTGGACGTTAAGAGAGGGAGAAAGTTCAAGAACTTATACAAATAGTCCAATCGATCGTATTTTCAGAACATGTAAATACGTTGTATAAAACTGGAAAGAAAATTCATCTTTTTTCTTTTCTATGACAACATATATTAGTTATTCAGAAATGTGGCTTTTTTGTCTGAAAACCAATATTCTAATAAATCTCCATTTTTTCTGGTGCCAAAATTTTGCTTTCGGTAAAGGAGAAATATAGGAGTTGTTTACTTTCTAAATGTGCGAGGAGCGATTCAGTCGTAAACACATGGCAAAAATTTTTAACTGGAAGATATTTGTCTCTTTAGTTGGCCTTGTAAGTTTTTTCTCGTTTTTCTATCAGACAATACTGCTTCTTAATCATTCAGCTAAACATATTCCGATCAGTTCTTCACTATTTCGCAATAAAAGCTTGTTAGGAAAGCGCCATGATGATAACAACTTCGTAGCTTGCAAGCTTCCCGAATTGGATCCGTTTCACCCTAGTGTGATTCATTTTACTAAGGACTTCGGTAAGCTGCGTTGTAATGGTGCTAGTTATTCAAGCTTCGAGAACAATGTCCTTCGAGTTGAAGGCACTGGAGTCGTTTCCGTGCAATACAGAACGATCCAAAGGCCTTTGGGGGACGATTTTGGAGTGGTTCTTTCTGATCCAGTCAGAGTTCGCAACGAGGAAAAGCGTAATCAAACAGGTGAGTGTTTTCAGAAGTCAAAATTTCAACTATTGTCCTCAATTTTCTGGTTTTTTTTTTCCTACAGCGCCAGGGGGTAAGGGGAACTTATTGCGAGGACACCACTCAAAAGTTTTCTCCGAGATTATCATTTTTAAGCTTTTCTAAGCTTTTTAAAGCTTTTAAAAGGTTCACGGACCGAGGAACTTTTCACAAGTAACCTTTCTAGGCTGTATTCTTCAGAAAAATAAAAAAATGCTAAAATGGCTGAATCACTTTTGATTATTCAACTGTTTTACTACTTATACTTACTACTACCGGTCTTAATTGCGACATAAATTTTGATATTACAATTAAAGCAACCCCCTATAGCATGGACCAATCTTGGATCTTGGCTGTAATAGAAATTTAGACATACTGAGCTAAGTACGACTCTTTACGGTGGCCAGTATAAATCATTTATTCAATTGATAACACCAAATTATAATAACACTCCCCGCCGACGCAGCACCACAGTTTCAGTGGGATGTTACCCCCTTTAATGTTAAATCAGTTTTTCTTCAATTAAGAAAAATCTAAACTCCTCTACACCAACAAAACCTAGAAATAAATGTCATCTTTAAAAGCCGTTTCCACGAAACTGAAAAACTGAAGGATTGGGTGGGCATAGTTAAAAAAGGAAAGTGTTTCTTCATCTTCTAGGATGGAAGCTCTAGCTAAGATCTCGCGGAGCCTAAAGGCGATTTAAGTTAACCGAAAAATAAAAGATAACAGTCTAT